TTATCTAGTTAGATTAGCGCGTGTCGGTTTCAGTTCTGGACATCATGGTACTTTACCTGGTTCTAAGATAGCAAGCATGATGTTCCGAGTCTCGATCATTCAAATTAAGGTACATGATCTTTCACATTTTCCTTGAACGCTGCGCAGTAATGTTTATGTTCAAAAACCACAATAGCCGCGGGTTTTGGAAGTCATTAAAATTTATGTTTATTGTACTGCTCAGTATTCTTCTGCACTTTGCAATTTTTTTACGTGTATTTATTAAATCTTCCTGTTTTCACTCGCTTCTTTTTACTTACACATTTTCTGCGTTGATAGCTGTATTTCCATCACATAATCATTATTAATATATTTACGATGCAAAAAACTACGGTAATATCTTTTTCTTTCTTTTCAGTATCCATCATTGTGAAATACACCTGACTGAGAGACTACCAATATACATGTTGCACATGTTGTACATTGAGACCTTCTTTTCACGAACCAATTATAAGTATTGTAGTTATATAAGTTTTTCTGTATAAATATATCTCTTCTATTATTTTTGTGTAAACATGTGTCGTTTCTGTACATTTTGTCACCATAAAACTTACTGTACTACTGCCTATGTTTATCTTATGCAAACAAATGATTAAAATTAAGATGATGATATGTTGCTCACAAGTTTATTCTTTGTGTCAGTAATTTTGAATTAAAATGTATATATATATAATTTTTAACATTCTTATTAGATTTTTATAGATATAATAAAATTATGTCTTCTGTCTTATTTGCTTTTCTTTTTTGCTTAACACAAGTGTTTTCTTTGAATACAAATTCTTAATGCGTAACATAATTTTGCGTATATTTCTCGGCATTAATAGGTTAATTGTACAATCTGATCAATATCGAATTGTAATGGAAATTGTATTGTAGAATAATGTAAGTGTCGGTAATCTTTCCATATTGTATTTATCAAGAAACAAACAAGCATACTTCACGTACGCGTAATTATACTGCGTCGATAAGTTCCAGCAAGCTTGTATATTTTTTTTATTTGTATGATTTATTATAATGTAATAATTTTACATACACATTTTATAATACACAAAGTAGAGCTTATACATGCTTAAATATTAACGTGTATTACGTAAATAAGATTAATATCTACCTTATGGCTTGCGTCTTTATACAAAGAAATAATACAATATATTAGATGATTGCATAAGTTCGTGCGCGATTTTCATAGTTGGCATTAAGTATGAAAATCGGGCACGAACTTATGCAATCATCTAATATATAATCGTGAATGTAATGACGTAAATGTAATGACGTGTTCGTACGTGTCTTTCACTCACTGCTTTCTATCAGTTGAAATAAAGCGCAGTGACTTTTTCAGAATTCACGTTGTTTGAGATAACAGTTATAATATTGCGCATGAGTTATTTTTTATTTATACTTTATGTAATTTTTATATATTCTTAATATTAATAAATTTTTATCAAATTATCAAAAATTTAATATCAAATATTTATTCTTTCATTATTTATTTATCTTTTTGAAGAAAAAAAGTGGTATAGAATTCAAGGTTTAATAAGTATCTTTCTAAAATCAAATTTAATAATCAAACTTTTTGTATTAATTAACATAATTTTGTATTAAAATAGGATGTCGAATAAATATGGATATATTAATATAAAGAAAAATACTTCACTCGGAATTAAAAGCTTACAATTTCGCAACGGAAAGCGATCATTTTATAGAGCAATTTTATACGTGACAAGCTTTATATAGTGTGACCTATAAATTGCGATAGGCGTGCGAGACGACCTATGGTCCGTTGAAAATAACTGATTTGCTCATCGTGATCATTGTTTACGCTAAATGAATCGCAGTGCCGAGCATTCTCCTGTCATATCAGCAATACGATACGCACGTTTTAATTAATCATCTTCCTCTGAATTTATCGAAGAGTACTCAGCCGTCAAAATTTGTATTAAACGAGAACAAAATGTTTTCAATGTTCCTGATCTACCATTCATTATTTTTTTTATTTTTTATTTTATCGTGCCTAGATATATTTTGTCAGTAACTAAAGATACATTTATTGAATATCTTAATGTTGCCGATTGATGCTGATCAGCAAAATATATTAAATATATTATCAATTATTAGTTTACGATGCGTAAAATTCCTATTTTTTTCTTTTAAGCTGTATAGAAAGAATAGATAAACAATTTTATGTTACTTTGATCCTGTGACATGTCATAACAGTATTCCTGTTATTAAAATGTGAGTAATTAAAAAATTATTCATTTTATTAGAATTATTTGAAAAGAATTCAAAGTGTAACCACATTATAAGATCGAATCTACTGCAATTATAAATTTATCCTCCTTTTTGGAGCACGCGCCTTCTCTGAGTCAACTTTGCCGAGAGCTTTTGCGCATGTGTTGTCCATTGCAGCGTGTAATATCAGCTTTATCACTCCCACCGCCTCAAAGTAGCTCCACAGGATGGCTGGTGGATTCACGATGACTACGTTTAGGTCTGTCCACATGTTGGACGTGGGGGATACACGGATAGTGCAATATATGCCGGAGTCGTCCTTCAATTCCGTTTCAGTCATACGGCAACGTTTGCGTTTATCAGTTCTCAACCGGTTTACACAGTATATTTACGACCGGCGTTTGTGACTAACGCGACTAACCGGTGATTGCCGACGCCATTTCTGGGTCGCACGCTCGATCAATTATTCCAAGTTCTAGGACGAGGAAACGTACGAAAAATGATAACAACAGATCTCCACCCGGTCGTTATCACAGCGCTGAGCCTGCTGCTCGGTGGCTTTCTCCTCACTGGAAGTCGTCGGCACTTCCTCTACGTGCTCTATAAGACGTTGCCAAGAGATATTTTGTGAGTATCAATAAATGTGAGAAAATGCGTGTGGGTGTATGTGTGTGTGAGCGGAAGGAAATAGGTTCAAATGTTCTTCTTAGCAGATAAACCTGAGTTAATGTTAAACGAACCTGAATATGTCGCTGTCGTATCTCTTTAAATGCAGTTTAAAATGGAGAGCAAATTAGAAAAAAAGTAAACCTGCGGAAATGTATTTTATATTTCCGTAATCTAATTATTTTTATCATTTATTTTATATTATACAAAAATTTGTCCTATGTTAAATCTGATTTAATAAAGTGTAAAGTGGCGATTATTATTAAGCTCTTTGTTGCTCCAAGATGTTCGTTACAGTTATATGATTGAATACAACTGAAAAATTGCAAATACATTTGTTTTCTAGTATATAATATATATCGTTCTATTTACATATTTATTAATACACATAAATTTAACTTTTTGACATAGTAATTGTTGCAAATTATTTAATAGGCAGTAAATGAAATATTAGCAGAAAAAGCTCCGAATATATTTTATCGCGTATAGCAGTATATTTAAAGCTTGTAGTAATAGAAGCACTTTCGTGCTTCATGTTATGTTATGGATTAATAATTTGCGTTCAATGCCCGAGTTGCATGATTGACCGTCGCATTCGCTTCAATGCTTCGTTTGCCGTTGGAATGCACTGCGCGTGATGGCTGATGAAGTCTACAAGAACTCTCGATGCATCTTTCTTTTATTACATTGTGACTTCCTATTGATATAATTATCTTGTTGCCATAATTTAATTTATTTTAAATTTTGTTGTTAATGTTTTAATTATTTGTCAGATTAACTTTCCATTTTTATATTTTTAGACAACGTGTTCGACCTTTGTCACAGGCTTTTATTTCATAAACACTCGTTTGCGCTTGTTCTGCTCCATTACCCTACTATATGATTTTAATCACCGGGATACATTGTAATTATTATTTTATTATTCTTTTTCATTACTCTTTCCTTTTTCATTACCTAATTATGTATATATTACCTAATTATGTAATATCCTCTATTCTATGTTTACATTATATCGTAATTGCTGTAGAAGACTAACTAAAGTCGAAACATACAATGTTTTTCATCTTATTTTTGTAAATATTTGTCTTTTAAATTTGTATTTTAATCTAACACTTTTTAAAAAGTTATCAAACTTATATAGAACTTCTAAAAAATTATATAAAAAATCCTAAAAAAAATTTTTTTTAGGATTATTAGTGTTACAACTATTAGTTGAACTATTATTGACATTTTACATATACTAAAGAAAAGAGAAATGAGATTTAAATTACTTAAAGTGTTTATAATTGCTTGCTTTCACACATACACACACACATTGGTTCTCTTACTGCGCTTACTTCATTTGCAGTTAAAGCTAAATAGCGCGCGCGAAGCGCGCGTCTGTATGTTAAAAAAGTACATTTTTTATTTTTAAGACCAAGAAAACTTTTAATTTCAGGATATCTAAACAATATAATATATA